CCAGGCTGCGCAGGGAAGTGGTTGAGTCTCCATCCCTGAAGGTATTTAAAAGACGGGTGGACGTGGTGCTTGAGGACATGGTTTAGTGGTGGACTTGGCAGTGCTAGGTTAACGGTTGGACTTGATGATCTTAAGGGTCTTTTCCAACTTTAATGATTCTGTGATTCTATGACTGGAGATAGAGAATGCTGGTGCTGCGGTTTTCATTGTGTTATCGTGTGCAGGTGTCCATTGCAATAGAAGAAGTCAGTCGTTGCCATTTAAGATTCACTTTCCGTCATCGGTCATCACAGGAATGTAAGTATCAGAAACGAAGATCTGCAGGAGTACTGTACTCTTCCTACCCTCATTGAGATTTTCTGAGTATCCGCCAAAGGTGTAGCGCTTGCATTTCTACTTATTTCCAGTGTTGTGGATTTTCTTGCAAGCAAAGAAAAAGAATTCAAACTTTTTACAGCCTTAAAAAAGGTTTGGTGCTGGTTTTGTTCCAAAACTGAAATTAGATAGGGAACAACGTTAGCCCCCTTGAAAGACAGTTGTCAACGCTTATTGATGCTTTGGCTTCTCAGTGTATGGTGGTGTTTTTAATTTATTTCAGGGTCTTCACAAAATTCAGTGCAAGGCCTGGTGGACTTCTACTGGTCTTCCTATAGGAGGATTTCTAATTAGGTTAATGAAAGGCTAATGAGAAAGTTAGAGCCGGAAGTTTCATCAAATGACTTAAGAGCCCTGAAACAAGATCAATAACGTGAGACTAAGCCCTTCAAAGGCTCTCAAAAAAAATTCTCTCAAGGTACATGGGAGATGCAGTGACATACTTCCACATCCACACCTCACAAGTAGATTTGCAAAATCCCAACCAAAATATCTATACAATTTTATATATGTCCATCTAGCAGCACAATTAACCACCAAAATTGTGTGGCAAGAGATGCTTTAGGTTTCTGTGTAGTTGCAGATACCTACTAAGTGCCTTGAGATGAGGGGGAAAGAAAGAGAGCTCTTTCTACTGTGGATCACAGTTTGCTAGCTCCATCACATCATTGTGTGATGCTATTAAATAAAGAAGCTGCATGTAGTTAGAGAGCTGCATTATGGGTAGCATGGGCATAAACAAGACTATTCCTAATAAAGATTGTTCTTTCTGTTTACAGCTAGGGATAAGTCTGAGAGAGCTTTTGGCGTGGGCTTTGTGAAGTTGATGAATGCAGATGGAACAACACTGCAAGATGGCAAACACAATTTGATTGTTTACAAGGTAGCTTGGGCATTTGCAGTTTTCACTTTTGTTTAACTAATCAAAACTCTTGGCTGACTTTTTTCCTAGCAATGTAAACGTCATCATTGCAGCAATTTTTAGTAATTTTTCTAGGATAATAGGACAGTAACTTTTTTTTAAATAAGGCACTCTCAGCTCTGCTTTCACTAATGGGTTTTCTGAGTGCAAGTACACAGATCTGTTACATCCTTGTACGTCTCTGTATAGAGCGTTTTTCCTCATCGTTCACCTAGATGGCATGCAACAAACAGGCCTGGTGAACACTTGCTTTGGAGGATCAGTGTGTGATGGGAAGAGAGACCTGGTGCCTTTAGTCACAGTAAGAGGAAAAAAATAATGAATTGCAGCAGAAAGCTATGAAGTGAGAAAGCCTCCTAAACTCTGTGGCGTGAATCACTCTGAAAAGAGCTTAGTTCATTGGTAGTATGGGCAACATCTGTTCCCTAAAGTTAGAGGCCCAAAATGGACAATGTGAGTAAACAACTATAGACGTGAAAAGGTGTTTAAAGCCCTCTCGGGCTGTCACTGTGTTGAAGTGTGTCTGCAGATGAGAACTGCAAGAGGTCAGATGAGGTGTGTTCAGTGTGAGATAACCATTGTCTTGGCTGTGTTCAACCAACAGGGTGATAACAAGAAAATGGAAGATGCTAAATGCTATTTAACTCTTCCTTGTACCAAAACGGAGATGGAGGAGAAGGAGGCCCCCTCGGGGAAAAATCTGCACCATCTAGCCAACTTTACACCCACTAAAGATAGTACAAAAGACAGCTTCCAGATTGCCACTTTGATCTGCTCCACCAAACTTACCCAGAATGGTAGGTCTTGCCTTAGCAGCCTAGCGGTGTCATGCTGTATATTTGAAGTGAAGAGGGCACTTTCCTTATGCAAATTTTTTGGCATTGCAGCATGTGTGGACATGGTGCTTTAGCTTTAATCTTGCTGTTTCATGTGTCAGTGGCAGCCCAATCCCAACATTGTTGGCATCGTGTTGCCTTTACAAGCTACAAAGATGTTTACGAAGCCACGAGAGACCATGTCACATGAATATTTTATCCAAACTACCAGTGTTAAATCCAACAGGTTTGTCGGCATGTATAGAAATGGTACCTGTCTGTGACAGTGTATATGTGTTTTCAGAATCCTTTATGTTTAAGGTTAATTATCTTCTGTCCTCTGCCTGTTAAGAATGTCGCAATTGGAACTGAACTGTTCAGCATGCTGTTATGCAGTAACTCTGCTTTGCGTGCTGCCAAAGTGGTCAAAATGAAGGATGATGTATATATGTGAATGAATACAGTACGTGCTGGTAAATGATGTGAGATTTCTGGTAGCTCTGGAAGGCTCTTGGTATAACGTACTTTCTGACTTTGGGAAAGAATGTGAAAATGACACCAGCTGTGGCTTCATCAAGGTGTACCTGTGTAGCTGCTGGGAGATGGGTATGAGCTGTTGTTCTGCTTGCAGTTTGAGCTTGGCCAGTTAGCTTAAGTTAAACACCATCCTGATACATCCACGTGCATGAGGAGTGAATCCGACTTTCATTATCCTGTCTGACGTGCAGGCGAAGCACGTTTGCATCTTTCTGCTCTCCTGCATGTAACCCCTGTTTCTGAATGTGGCATTCTTTACCAAGGCTGTTAAGTTTCACATGTATTCTTATATCTGAAGGTAGTAAATTAATTTAGTTTCAGAATGGAGATGATGTACATATTTCATTAACATGGAAGATGTGTATGAAACCTGCTAGACTTCTTTGAACGCCTCAACTGTAGTTTGTAACTAAACTTGAGGTCCTGGGATGTCCCAGAACTATGATAAACAGCTCTGCAGCTTAATGTAATTTATACAAGAGGTTTCAATTTTAACTTTAAGAACAATCTCCAAGAGGCTGCTCTAAAGTAAACACAAGCATTAGTAAGAAAAGTCATGCACTCTTAATAACATTCCTAGCTTGAGATACCTTCTCTTGAGTGAATGAGAAGCCTGCAAAATTGTCTACCAAATGCCTTGCGTTATCAAATTACACTGAGGTTTCCATTTATAGCAAAACTTAACTTTCTTGCCAAGACAAAAGAACCATCGCAAGGTAATATTCTATACGTCAGTGTGACTTTTCCTTGTAAGCCGATTCTAAAAATAACCTCTAGTACTTGTTCTGTATTGTTCTTCAGCCATTAAGTCAGCTGTGTTGTTGTAATCTGTTTCTAACATCTTGCTGATGTTCTCTCCTTGCTAGTTGACCTGCTGGGTTTGTTGAACTGGCGTTCTAACTCTCAGAACATAGCTCACAACCTAAGGAAGCTAATGGAGGTGGAAGGAGGAGAAATTGTAAAGGTATGCATAGAGACTTGAGTCTCCTTGTTATGCAAACACTTCTGTACGTTCTTGATGTTGACCTCGAAGGGTTGTAATTGTGTTGAACCCAAAAGCTCTCTATATAGGCTAGGAGAGCTGGTTTAGCTGCTGAGCAACAGGAGAACAAAAAGTATGCTTTGCCCCAAGCTCTCCTTAGTGGAATTCACCAGAATTACAAAGTTAAATGTTGCCAGGATTGGGGAGATAGTGGTGACTTTATTTTCCCCTGCATCCTTATGAAATAGAAGATACATTCAAAGCCTAACTTAATTTTCAGTAGTGGCTCTGGGCCTCCTTTGTGGATAGGGACTTGCTGTGGATCTAGGAACAGAGTGCAGAGAAGGCTTAAAGAGCTTATAATCAGAGTACCATGGGGAATAGACCTGAAATGTGCTGAAGCACCACAGAAAATAGTCGTCTGGAGGATTTAGGAGGTAAGACTTCCCGTAGTTCCAAGTGGGGATCTTTTGGGATTACGCAAGGTCATGGTTTTACTTAACTGCTGAACAACTGAAGTAAATGCTGTGTCGTTGCAAACCAGTCTTTACGTAAAATGTTATGCCTTAGTACAGTGTATGTGGTTGGTTTGGCCTAGTGCAAGCTTAAACTGTATGGACGGAATTAAGTGTCTTGAATAGGTCTCTTGCTAGGTAAACACACAAAACAGAAAAAGTGAGGCCATTTAGAGCTGATAAGACAAGATCCTCCTTGCTGTAGTGAGGGAGAATAGTGTGATGATTATGACAAGCATGTGAATGAATACAGGACTAAGATCCCTTTTAAAATGTTCTTTCATGTACAGCTTTTACAGTTCAACTGAGCTAGGTTGGAGGGGGAAAAATGATCCAAAAGAGTAGGCTCGTCTGCAGGATTCCGGAAGTAGTAGTCTTTTCCCGCCTTTTTACTATTTTATTTTTTCCCCTCTAGTTTTTGCAAGACACCCTTGATGCACTTTTCAACATAATGATGGAAATGTCAGAAAATGAAACCTATGACTTCCTTGTGTTTGATGCACTGGTTAGTGAGTCTTTTTTTTTTTTGTGTGTGTGTGTGTGTGCATTGAGAGTATTTGTTTTTCAGCCACATTTTCAGTCTGTTCCTGGTGGCTTCCTTTAGATGAGTGATTGGTATTTTGCGCTGAGAAATAAACTATATTTAAACACTTCTTAAAGGCATTTTCAGGAGCTAGGACTGAGATATGCATTGAGCTTTTTAGTGACCACAGTGAGAACAGTAATAACTGTTTACATAATTTATAGTAATTTCCTCAAAAAACTTCTTGCATTAAGGCTATTTACAAAAGAGAAAAGCTGTATTATCTGTCTGAAGCACAGAGTGAAATGATTTGTTCAGGGTCATGACGGAGGAGGATTTGTGGCTGTGGTGGGGATAGAACCTATGCACCCTAAATCCTAGCCTGGTACTTAGGCAGTAGGGATGATTGCTCCTCTGAACCTTTATAGAAGGATTGTAATGACTGAGCAAAAGACTCCGCAAGGATTATTCTGCATCTTTGGAGAGGCTGCTTAGTAGGTTTGTTAAAGGCACTGAATTTGGTGTGCAGTAACAAAGTTGTGTGCTTCATGCTGGCCAGCAAATATGTAATTGACAGTTCAGAGAGAAATGTGAAGTCAGATGTATCCAGCTGGCATTGGTGGGGGGAGTGCATATAGGGGGACAGAATGTCCTGGCTCTGGTACATGTTATTGTAGTAACAGGACTGAGTGTTTGCTATGAGTATGAATGATCAGAATCTCAAGTTCTAGCTTGAAAAGCATCGTTTCTTAGCTTTGAAAAACGGCCTTCAGCAGGTCTGTGCCTATTTGACCTGTGCTATGACAGTGTCACACAAAGACTGTAAGTAGTGCTGCTTCCTGTATCACTGTTGTTGCTTTGTGGAGTAGCTCCCTTTCTCTCTAAGATTTCCTATCTAAACGCTGCTATGGCCTACCTTCCCTCTGAGCAATGATGTAGTCACACACCCCACGGTATTTAGTCACTGTTAGAATATGAACAACACTATCTGTAGCATTAATGCTATTAGAGAAACAAACAAACAAAAACCATGACCCAGCAAAATAAATGACATGCAATTAGAGACTGAGTTATGTTTGTGCGTGTTAGAGGTTGTGCGGCTCTGTACATCTGTTTGCTTTTGAATTTTTGGCAGGTATTTATTATTTCTTTGATCGGAGACATCAAGTTCCAGCATTTCAACCCTGTACTTGAAACTTATATTTATAAGCACTTCAGCGCAACCCTGGCATACGTGTAAGTACTGGTCACCACAAACCCACAAGCTGTCATTCAGGCAGTGTCTCACTGTTAATTTTGGCAAACTACACTAACGTGATAAAGGCAGCATAGACCAGATGACTGTTCCGCCCTATTCTTCTCTGCTTTCAGGAGAGAAAGAAACCCTGTAATTACTCTTACCCTGTAAAAAGTTTCTATTTTAAGAATTTTTTCTGTAAGGAAAAGAGACTGCTATCATGGAAAATCCTGTATCAGACTGTGGTTCAGACTATCTTTGTAGTCCTCTGTGTGTGTTTGTGCTATACAAGCCTCTTCATGTTTTTCAGCCTGATTTCCTATTGAACACAGGTTCGTGCAGTCAGTCAGTGTACATCTCTCCCGTATAACTTTCGAGTGCTTTGGTCTAGTATTGCTGCTAAAAGGTTGGTGGGGGCAGGGGGGTAGGGGTGGTGGTTACAGGTATATGCAGAAGGCAACGGAAAGTATCGTAAGTCGGTATGTGGGAGGGTGGTGGAAATTGAAAGAACACAAATTCGTAAGAAATCTGGTCTGATAGGTATTGCTGCTCGTGGAACTGTTTTGTCTTGCCAGTATCTGCCTCAACCTTTTCAATCCACCCTACCCCAGAATTACTTTGAGCAGAAGAAAATTCTAGATGGTCTGTATACTTTGTACTCTGTGCTATTTTAGGGGTATGTTTGAACGGGGTCACGGGGAGCAGAAGCAGAACCGTACATGGCTGAAATAATAGGAGCGACATTGTGGTTGATGGTAGCAGAGATAAGAATGGTGTTCACCTCCACTGTCTACCTACATCCAGGCAGGTTGAGGAGGCCACAGACTTCAGAAAAGGGCTAAATGTCATGGTGGGGTTTAAACATGTCGATTACATGAGATTACACTTACATATTGAAATTCTCTCACATAGACTGTCATGTGTTTAGAAGAAATTTGCAATTCTTCACATTTGGATGTGTGTGTACGGACAGCGGGAGTAATTCTGTTTCCCTGTAATGTTTTTATCTGCGGAACTCAAAGCAGTTTTAAAAAATTCAGCTCACAATCATTAGCCCTATTTTATCAGGGAAGGAAAAAGCTGATGCGCAGAATTTATTTAGGTACATGTGAAAACTTAGTCCTTTCAGTCAACCTGTTGACTTCATGCGCTTAAAAATAAGGCAGTTGTTTAGGTGCTATAGCTAGTCATGGCTTACGTGCCCAAGGATACCCAGGAAGTTGGTGGAGAAGCCAGGAATAACACCCACATCTCTTGACTTCCCAGCTCCTTGATCTAGTGCCCCTCAACCCAAAGGTCATTACCTCATGGTAACAAGCAACTAAAAAGTTAAAACTGGAGCCAATATGGAGGGCAAAACCAGAAACCAAACTCCTTTTCCCCTCTCAAAATCTCTTGTTATTTTTACCGATACGCATGAATTCCTAGTCCTGAGTATTCAGCCTCTTTTGATGGCTGTCAACCTAAAGATAATTCTGTGAGGAAACATGATTTCACAAAGCTCTGAAGTCCCTGCCTCCTGCCGCCTTCTTCCCTGCCCTGGCCACATGATCACTGCTTGCATATGATTTCCTTTCCTTCTTCCCTGTAACCTATGGAAGAATCATCATTCTTATCTCTCTTCACTATAAATAAACTTCTTTGTCTGATTAATGAGCACACTGTATCTTAGCTTTGTTGTTCCCTTGCCTTTCTTTCCAGCTTAGCTTGACAACGTGGTATCTGCGTAATGCCAAGTGGACTATAATATTATATAGTCTCCTTGGCGTGCTCCACGTGCCAGAATTTGGCAAAGCAGGGGATTGGATGCTGGCAGTGTGGCAAGTAGAGCAAGCAAGTGCAAAAGCTCTTGTATACTTGGCTATCACTCTCACACTACTTTGGGTGCTGTGAGTTGTTTAATGAAGAGGATTTTGCCTGAATATTAACTGCTGGAACACTCGCAGAAGATCCTGATCTGCTTTGGCAGAGACTAGATAGCAAATACGCATAATGTGTTTATGCAACTTCTGTCCACAGTTCTCAAAGCATTCGGCAAGTATTGCTTCAGAACTTTGCGCTCCACGCATGAGAATGCGAACATGTGGAGAAGGTGTCAGTCCACTTTCAGTAGTAATGGGTTTTCCAGCTTCCTGTAAACTTCCTTTTAAAGAAGGGAAAAAAACCAAACGGATCAAGAAGTTGGAATTTGTAGACAAATTTGTAGACTTTTCTGAGAATTCATGAACTGGTTATGAAAATCTGGCATCCCGTGAAGCCAAAGACTTCAGAAGGAAATAGGCTGTGAAGAGGAATCCCTGTCTGTTATCTATTTATTAGCCTGTAGCTGCTTTCTGGAATAAGGAAGCTGGACTTACACAGAAACTTAACTGTGTCTATATTTATTCTCCTTTTCATTTTATTTCCATAGGAAACTCACCAAAGTACTGAACTGTTATGTGGGAAATGCTGATGACTCCAGCAAGACAGAATTGCTATTTGCTGCTCTGAAAGCCTTGAAGTACCTATTCCGATTCATTGTTCAGTCACGGATATTGTACCTGAGGTGAGACCAAGGTCATTGCCATCCTTATGTCTCCTTTTGGAAGTCACTGAAGTTGCTTCCAGTCAACACCACTAGAGGGGATATTCTTCAGCATATCCTCTATCCTTGAATTATTAAGAAGAGTGTCTTTCTGCCCTTTGTCTACAGCTGGAGAAAATAAGTTGAGTAAAAATTGAAATACCTAATTTGAAAAAATCCTTTTAGTCACCTGTAACATGCTACAAGCAGCATATGGTAGCACTGAAAAGGAACCTGTTACTAATGAAAAAACAGACAAACAAACATGGAATGACTTCCTCATTTTAAGAAACTTTAAGAAACAAATACACACATGGTTACTTGTTAGGCGAGGTGAGGGTGACACGTTTAGTTAGGATATAGTCAATGACAGTAGTTCTAACATAGCCTCAAAACATGTTTTCAAAGATTGACAGTGAATGTTTGGAGTCCTCTTCTCATGTTCATTCTGGCTTTTTTTGTTTAATACTGAATGAGCTACTTGATTCTTGGAACCCAAGCAGTTTGATGCAATGGCAGTTTAAAAAGTACAGCTTTTCCCTTTTAACAGATTTTAGCAGGAAATTACTGCAGAATCCCCAATGCCGGTTTTACACTCATGTCTTTGTAGGAGGAGATTGCTTTAAGATGTTGTTCCACAGGATAAAATCATATTCATATTTCGGCTACTGTGACACTGTTAGCCTAGATTTATGTGTATAACTAGCTCTTTCTGTTCTTTGTAGGTTTTATGGGAAAAGTGAAGATGGGGATGAATTTAATGATGCAATACGCAAGCTGTTCCTCTCCTTCAATGTCCTCATGGACCGGCCTTTAGAGGAGGCTGTCAAGATTAAGGTATGCGTAATTTGCAGGGAGAGGTAATATCTTTTATTACATCAACTGATACAGTCGCGGGGCAGGGGAGAGGGGACAGAAAAAGGGACAAGCTTTGAGGCACATAAAAACCCATTCAGATGAGTCACACCACCTCTGAATGTCTGTTTTAATGAACTGTGTGTGGCAGGAAAGGAATATTTAAACCCCAAAGTTTATCAAATACAGATGAGAGCTGTGGCTTTGCTGAAAACCCTTCAGCACCTAGGATGAAAGCTAACAACCAATGCAGATGTAATCTACTGCAGTGTGGAAGACACTTCAACTAGTGTAACACCAAGCTTGAGGGTAATGGAGATAGCAATGTTAAACCACTACAAAAATCAATGTAATGCTGGGAACGAAAGTAATGAAAAAACAAATGGTTTCTAAACGTATCTTAGATTTTATACTTGCTTGTTTTTCTGGTGTCAACTAGATTATGAACCTTCTGTTTATGCTCTGAGGAGGAGCAGAGCAGCCATGCAATGAGGCTGCTAAATTGCTGAAGGCAGCGATTTAGATTACTTTCTTTATTTCAGTTCGTCTAGCCAACATGCTTTTCTCTGTTTGAAGGAAAGATTGATTCTAAACTTTTAATTAGGACTTGGGTGATTTAAAGCCCAACTTTGATTCTCACACAGTCAGAGTACCTGCTGGCAGCAATCATAGAACATCATAGACAGACCTTTAGTTGCTATTGCACCTAGTTGTCTGGATGCTACATTTATGAAAGCTGTACTAGTACCTACTTAACTTATTAGTGTGTATGTGGACATGCTAAAGTATGCGGAACACTGAGTCAATTTAACTGACTAGTGCTTTTCATGGCAGGCTATAAGGAGCTTAATCCTGGAACTGCAGAATGTTTGCAAAAACTAAAGAACTTGGCTACACATCCTTCCTCCTTCACCTCTTCCTCTCTGCACTGCAGATGTGTGGTTGCTGGAGGCTCTTTGGATGCATAAATTTGATCTTAAGCCCGTTCTCTACAAGTGTCTGCATATTTGCTCTTGACAAAACCTGGATTTGCCATGTGAGCTGTGGGCATTGTTGTTGAGACTTTACACCCTTTTAGAATGAGCTAGCTGGTGTAACTCCGGTTCCCATGTGGGTTTCATGTCCTTGTCTTTTCTTCTTGCAGGGTGCAGCTTTAAAGTATTTGCCAAGTATCATAAACGATGTCAAACTAGTATTTGACCCTGTTGAGCTCAGGTAACCATATTAAGCTTGTTTGACCTCTAAACCCAGCTTATCTGTTGGGAAGGATTCTGGAAACTTTCCTAAAAGCAGCCACTCTGATTATGACATGATGGTGCTCGTACTGTGCATGAATTTGAGGAAGCGCTTGCAGGGCTTTAAAGGAGGTCAGTTTAGTTCAAAGGGATTTATGCATCGCAACTGCTCTTTCTTAGACACTTTGAGATTTTACTGAAAGCCAAAATTTGAGGACTTGGGAGTGATATGTTGAAATGTTATGCAAGTTTCCACTAGTTCTTAATGATTGCTTCTGAGGTAAACCAAAATGTGTGACAAAGGCTCAGCCTTGGTCAGGAAAACAAATGTTGTATTTATTCAGGAAATTCACAACACTGTGTGGATATCTGTTCTTTGGTGCTCATAGCTTTGCCCAGAACCTCCCAACCATGCCTCCTTGTTCTGACACAAAGAATTTGCTCGTAAGCAGTAGACAGACAGCAAATGTACATGGAATTTAATTTAATGGAATCTCACATTGAAATGAGTCATCACTCTTGATGAAAGGGGCATCTGGAAGGATATGCTCTTGCAATTGTATATAGCAGTATTTCCAGTTTCAGCAGTGGTCTGCTGAAGCTTTGCAAAATTCTGCTTTCATTTTGTATGAAAGTAAGTATGATTATCCTATGCTGGCACTGGAAGGCAGATAGTATTGTCTATTTATAAGCTTTTGTGATACGTCTAGTGTGTCTTGGGTTGCAAGCTTCATTTTAAGAGGTTTAAGCCTGCAGTTTCTGAATACTGTTGAGTTTTACTGAAAGTCCTGTGCTAAGTTTCTTGAAAATAAGTTAGGGCTCCATAGTAATTTGCCTGGACACCACTTGCAGGTAACGTGTCCACACAGTGACAAAACTGCTTGACTTGCCCAGGTGCAGGACAGTGTAAGCGTAGGATGGAATCACATTGGGTGAAAATGCTGATCATCTGCTTGCTTTGTGGTTTGCACGCTAGTGTCCTCTTCAGCAAGTTTATCCAAAGTATTCCCGACAACCAGTTAGTTCGACAGAAGCTAAACTGCATGACCAAGATAGTCGAGAGTGATCTGTTTAAACAGTCTGGTAAGTAGCAAATTCAAGTCTCTGGATTCTGCATGGGGCCACACACCCTTAATAACAAAAATGTCTTTCAAGTTCACATGTCCTTTATGTCAGTCATCAGTGGTTGTCTACCATTAAACCCATCTTTAGAAATATTCCTTGCCGTGGAACAACTGAAACTTTTTTGCTGTTCAGTCTTTATGCAGTGCCTAATACTGTAGGATCCTGATCTAGTGAGTTGATTTAGAAAGAGGCAGAAGGTGAGTGCACGCTATTTGATGCAATACATGTGATTACAGGTAATTTATGACTGTCACTAGTCTGTTAGTGGTAACTCAAGTGGATATAAGCATGTTTTGGTGTCCTAGATAAAGTTATGAGCAGAAAGCTACTGTGTGGTACCCACATATACTGAATTCTGAAGAACTTCTGGAGACGAACAAGACATGGTGCTGTTTCTTTTTTTAGAATGCAGAGATGCTCTTCTGCCACTACTAATAGATCAGCTAAGTGGCCAGTTGGATGACAATTCAAACAAGCCTGACCATGAGGCCTGCTCACAGCTACTTAGCAGTGTTCTTGAAGTCCTGGATCGGAAAGATGTGGTGAGCATGAACTGTCAAGGGTGCAAATTAAGGTTAATTCTTCTTTTGAGAAGTTATGGCAAAGAAATGTTCTCAACGTATGGTTTAAAGAATTACGAAGTTCTGATGTTTATAGAAATTGTGTTGCATTGCTGTATGGTTCTTTGAACCTCTTTGCACATAAAGTAGCTGTGTCTAAAAAGCAGCCATGAAAGGTTGAATTAGTGGTTATCACTACAGTACAAAAAGCAATTACTTTCCTTTCTAGGGACCAAAGTGTTATTCCCAGCTATTTTGGTGGCTTGTTGAATTATTTGGAGCAAGTCATAAAAGTATTTGGTTTCTCATTTTCTCTGCTATGAAATAGGGACAACGATCATTATTCAGTCAGGAGAATACAGTTACTCGCCACATTAATCATGGAAATTGATTCTAAGTTGCTGTGAAAAGAATAGTTTGAACTGAAGAGCTGTTCAGTTTAGCTGTGCCAGGATGAACTAATGAAGCTGGTGTAGATCAATTATGCTAGCTGTCCACCAAGTGTATACCTACAGTATTTTAATCGATTGCTCGTGTGTTTTAAATCTCCTTTTTTGCATCCTCTAATAACAATTAACCACTGTCAGGGCAGTTCTCCCACACAGGGAGCACTCTGTAGAACAGTATACATCAAGAACTGTCTCAAATTTTCCTTATTGCATATCCCCAGGGACCCACTGCTGTCCACATCCAGCTGATCATGGAACGCCTGCTAAGGAGAATAAACCGCACAGTGATTGGAATGAGCAGACAGTCTCCACACATTGTGAGAGCCTTTTACTTGCTTCAGTTATTACTTTACCATTTGTTATAGTGGAATTGATTCTCCTGGGAGATTTCAGTGTGTAGCAGTGGTTTATGAAATCATCTTTCCATTTCCTGCAGGGCTTCTGTGCCACTAGAACATGGCTTTTGGTGGTTTTCTGAGACTGGGTATTAGGATACAAATTGTCCTATTTCAGCAGCAGTTTGAACTGAGTCACAGTTTGCTGCGACTTCAAGTTCCTTTGGGCCCTTGTGCACAGCGAATTTGGTTTCAGTGCAGTTTTTAATACACGAGTCTTTGCTGGAAAAATGCTCTTTTGTCACCTTGGCTGAATAGGATTAAATGCTGAAGGATGAGGCATGTCTAAGGGGCGTTTCTGACTGCTGTGTGGCATCTTAGAAGGTGTAAGCAAGGTGGTGTGTTTTAATTTACCCTGTACTTCATGTACAGAAAGATGGAAAAATCAAGAGCTGGGTGTATATAGCAATGTCTTATTTCTGATAACTCTAAGGTCAAGTTAATGCTATTGCCAGTATGTCAGCCGTGAGAATTACAGTTGGCCGTAGTAAATTTGAAAATCATAGAATCATTTAGGTTGGAAAAGACTCTTAAGATACAATGAAGTGGTTCGTATACATACCTATATTCCATTGTTTTGAGGAGGTGTTTTTCTGGCAAACTGTGATCCCTGGGGAGAAAGAAAGCTATACCCAGACTCCATACTTGAAATTTAGGAAGTCTTGACTGGTTTAGGGTAGAAGACTAAACAGTCTCACAGACTGATGTCAGGACATAGATGAGCAGGATTGTGATCAGTGATATTTGATGAGGCAGAACTGTGAAAGCATATGCCACACTTTGAACTTACAGTGCTTAATACAGGAAAATAATCAAATGTCTTGTTTTTCCTGTTCTAGGGCATTTTTGTGGCCTGCATGACAGCCATCCTGAGGCAGATGGATGATTTCCATTACAACCATTACATCAATACTTTCAAAACCAGGCAGGACATTATTGTAAGTCAGCCTGGCTGGGGGATTAGCTCAGTCCATAAAGAATTACACTCTGCTTCTGAAAGGTCATTTCAAGTTCCTGTATTCAGTTTGGAGTGATTATACTGCATTCATCAGCAATGACTTATGGGCACCTAACACCACAGCCCCTGGGGATATATTCACATCACCCCTGCTGGGTATACACAGTGGATCTTGCTGACTCAGTAGAGCCTGAGAATAGCATTTGTAGCATTGAGTAAATACACGTTTAATGACTATTTAAGTTTGTGCAAGTAAAAAGTCAGGAACCAGAAGAGTGAATGAAGATGGAAAGGAAAAGCATTTTCCCCTCTCTTGCTCTCGCTGTATCTCTTTGTGATCCTGTTCTGTTTCTTTCTAATTCTTTCTCCTCCTCTAGACTTTAATTAAATTAATTAAAAAGACTTTAGTCTTGCTTTAGTGGGCAGCAATGCAGATAGTTCCCTTCATGTTAAAAACTGTGTACAATTCATGTCCCCAGGGACTTCCAATATGAAACCAGGTGAAACATTAGGGTTTCTTTTTGGTTATTTTTTGTTTTTTTTTTTTTTTTGGTTTTGGGTTTTTTTTTTTTTTGGGGACTGTGTACAATTCATGTCCCCAGGGACTTCCAATATGAAACCAGGTGAAACATTAGGGTTTCTTTTTGGTTATTTTTTGTTTTTTTTTTTTTTTTGGTTTTGGGTTTTTTTTCTTTTTGAGGCCCTTAGAATTAACAGCTCTGTCCAGATTTTTCCCCAGACTGCCCAGAACGAGTTGGAACCAAAACCAGTATTTATGCAGGTCTCTGAAGCATGACACAGCAACTGTTCTGGCTTTTTGGTCCCCGTACTCCTTGTTTTGCAACTTAGAAGCTCTTGCTTATTTAAATACTGGCTGGGGAAGAGCCTGGACTTCTGTTCTTCCTGTAAAAGCTAGATCAAAAACCACAAGAAGGTGTCTGTAATTCATTTTGGATGGCAAGGTGATCTCTCTTGCCTTGTGTGTTTGGAATTGCTTGCAATCTGTTGAGCAACATGGCCACCTACAGGACGCACACATTTCTGTCACTTCTGCATCTGAAAGGCTGCTCGGCTGCATTGTTTATAGAGAGCACTCATCATTTAGTGTTAGAATTGCTTTTTATATTACCCAAATAATTTTTTGTGAAGGAAGAAAAACTGAAGTAGATTCAGGAATTCTGCTAGTGTTCGTTAAGTAAACGAGTAAAAAGGTTTTCAGCAGGGTTATGTAGAAATACTGTGTCTGAGGAAGAAGGGTGCTAGGAAGACAAATCTGATGGATTTTGGAAAAAGGTGGATTCAAGGCAAAATTGAAACAAATTTTATGTTGAGTGGGCCTCAATTCAGAATTTCTCCTGAAGAGCAGTTGAGCTAGTGGGAGACCATCATAACTTAAGTTTGAGGTAAGGTTAAACAGGTGCTTAGAAGCTTTCCTGAAATAAAACTTCAGATTGAACCTCAGCTTGCAAGTTGAAGATGTCTTGTTTTACCATATAGCTCTGCATCTTCTGACTCAAGTAGGAGAATGTTTCTTTTGTGTTTCTGTGTGTATACATAAATTTTCTACATGAAGACATATCAAGAGGGTAAATTATGTAATTATTAAAACTACCTGCACATAATTTAAACAGATACTGATTGAAAATAACAATTTGTAACCTAATTTTTACAAATTCTTAAATCTACAGGAGCAAGCCCACATTTGTGGTGGTGTAGTTGTTAATACCAATACAATGCTGCATTTTGTTTTACTGCAATAATTGTTTTTATTTTTGTTGTTTGTTCTTGGGTTTTATTTGCTTTGGTATTTTCAGCCCTGGCATTGCATCATTACTTGGTTGGTTTAACGCTGTTATAAGTTAATTCGTATCTTCAAGGTGCCCCGTGTCAAGTCCAAACCTTTCCATCAAGCTCCGATTTAATAATGCCTAAAGGATTTTTACTGAGGCAGCACCAAATGCCCATTTCTCTCTCTCCATTGATGTCGCTTGCCAATTCTTTAGAGCAAGCTGTTCAGCTCAACAAAATTTTTTTTTTTTTTTTTTGCTGGTGATCTTTGCAAGGTGGTGATTTCTCATGTGACCTTCTTTGTGTCCTTCTCATTTTTGAGTGCTCATGTGCTGTCTTTGTAGAGAACAGCATCCATTTAAATGCTCATAGGTAGCATTTATATCTGTAGCGACCACAATAGAGAGATCGATATTCTTGGTATTACCTTCTTTTGCTCATCTCTCTTTTTCCTTTTTTCTTATTCTACAATTCAACCTTGCCTTGCCCAAGTCTTAAGGTGTGACGTAGCTTTGTTTGGAGCAGTTTAGTGTTTGTGCAAAAAGTCTTTTCTGCAGTCATGGTCTAAACAATGTGTCTGACGGCATGGTCACTACCTCTGTTTAACTATCCTTTTTAAACTGGATCAGAAAAGACTTAACTAATTGGGGAAGTGAAAATAGATTACAATTTCCATCTTTATAGAAGATACGGCATAGGGCTGTTACGCTGTCATCATTCAGACATTTGGAAACAAGTCCTTGAATATTGGATTTGCTTTTTAATCCAGCTTGTGTACCAGAACTCCCTACAACACAGCTTAATTCAGAGCAGTAAAGACAGGTTTAATAAAACAGATCAACATGTTCTGTGGAATTATTTTTCCTTCTGTAACTGAATGAATGAGACATCAGAAATAATCTAGTTACTGGAATATACCTACACAATAAGAGAACCTTCTTAGGAGGTACAGTGTATTGATGACTAATCAATGCAGTCGTTAATCGATGCAATTGCAGACATTTGCATTTCCCTATCTTTTCATGTGGATAAAAGACTACTATATTCAACTTGATGGGTTGTGGTTTTTATTTTTCCAACAGGACTTCCTGATGGAAACATTCATTATGTTTAAGGATCTGATTGGGAAAAATGTCTATGCAACTGACTGGATGGTCATGAATATGATGCAGAGCAGGTATATAGTTGTGCTATTTTAAGTCTTGCTACTGCTTTGGAGCCTTTCTGGTTCTGAAAGGAGGGTGACTCACACAAGCAGGCTTGCAAATCAATGGAGTTACATAGGCTTATTTTCTTTTACAGTTTCAGGGTGATTTAAATTAGATTTCAGTAAATTGTAGTGCCTGTGCGTTTCTCTTGATGGAACTGGAAATCTTCCTTTTGCTGCCTAAAGGCACACAATCAAAACCATGCAGTCTTTCATCCAGTCACTTATCTACTGGAGAGCGCAGTGTAAATCAGAGAAGCCTTTTTCGTTTCAATTCTGGAGGAATCACGTGGCAAACGTAAAGCTAGAGTTGGACGTAAGTGTGGTCTAGGGTTTAGTGTGCTGGCCTGCAAACTAGAACTACCCAGATTCACGTCTGTCCTCTGCTGTGGACTTTGGCCTTGTGTGAGTCAATCTGTCCTGCTAAGTCTGTACAATTCGAATGGCTTTGGCTCGCTATCTGTCTGCTGTGCTAGGTAGCAAAGCATGGCCAAACCTGCTATCCATGACGCAGCAGGGCCTATACGCCTGTGAATTTAATGTTCCCACAGGCGCTATCAACAGAACTGGGGACAGAATGAAGAAACAACAAGTGTGTAACTCCTGTTTGCATGGCACAGTCATGCAAGTCATCTTCAAAATGGATGCAGCGTAGCTCTGCTGTGTCGTAGGGGTGCAGTGTGGAGAAGGGCGTCAAAGTGGCAAGTTATTTGAATGCTTCAGTGGTGAGGATAGGCTAAACTTAAGAGAAACTACCATCTGCAATGACACTGCACCGTCAAAGAGATTGGATGATCCAAAAAGTGTTTTGTTTTTTGTCTGCCTCCAGTCAAGGTTTCTTTTGTTCAGAAACAGAGGAATAACTTTCCCTGAATGTCCCTCTACTGGGAAAGCGGTGAAATAGCATTATAGAGGAATACCTGTCTTGTTTGGGAGAATCTGTTCTTGTCTCCTGAGCCTACATGTAGGAGTCGTAAACACGGAACTGCAATGTTATTTTTTCAAGAGCCACCTTTTATTTGATGTTTTTATCTCTTCCAGGGTTTTCCTCCGGGCGGTGAACCAATTTACCTCTGTACTCAATCGTTTCTTTCTGGATCAAACAAGTTTTGAACTCCAGGTAGTAGTTCCATTGTTTCTGGGTTTTCTTATGGACCGCAGTCCTGAAAGGCAGGAAGAACAAACAAATTCCGCTGTTAACAGATCTGTTGATATGGAGCATGCCTGAGGAAAATGTCCGTAGTCTTTTATAGAAAAGCAGCAGAATGCAAAGCGGTTTTGAATTACAGAAGTGTGGTTAGTGCAGCAATAAGTTGCAAGCAAATACAACTGCTGCAGGCTTTACAAGGTCAAGTTGAGCAGCATGCTGGCTATAGCTGATTTGTGGTTGACTAGTTAGGAACAAAATACTGTATGGGTGTACCCACTGTCGCTTCCTTTAGTTGGAAAGTACAAGCTAAAAAAGAGTGAGAAATTTTAAGCTGCTATATGCTTCATAGCTTGCCTGCTACGGCCAAGAACACGGACTCATCTACCAGCTCACTGTTGGTACGCTTTCTCATTAACACTTACCTGAGAGACTACAGCACTTAGGGCTGTGTAGCTCTGTTGTGCTGGTTGTTGCTTTTCTTTTGCCTTCTCCTATTTTAGACTTGTTTCTCTTCCACAGCTCTGGAATAACTATTTCCATTTGGCAGTGGCCTTTCTCACTCATGAATCCCTCCAGCTGGAGACCTTCTCACAAGCCAAACGCAACAAAATTATCAAGAAGTGAGTTTACACTTAAAAAGTTGCCAGGCCTTTTTGCTTTTAAGAAGCTTCATTTGCACTGTTCCAGTCATACCCCATACAGTCTTAGAATGGAATGGTGATAAAGGGAGGAGGGGTGACTAGGACAGATGTCAGGTCTTTACACTGTGGATGTCTAAGTCTGGTCAGACAGATCCTGAGCTGTTTGAGGTCGGTTTAAGCACCTTGCCAAAAGATTCTTTCCACTATAAGGTCTGTAACAGAAAGCTTGCCATAGTTCCCAGAGCAATAACTTATGCAATTCCTCAGCCATTGTGTAAGGTAGTTAAGCAAGAATCCTAAAAGCCCTGCAGTTCTTTAGTCCCCTCTTTGCTTTTTCTCTTTTGAAAGTGAGAGCAGTTCAGAGGCATTCATCAACCCAAAAGCAGTAATTTTTAGTACCTTGTCCAGATTCCCAAGGACACCAAACAGCTTTTACTTCTGCATTTAGCTGGAATCAAGTGCCTAAATATATTTGTAGATCTTGACGTAGAATTTTGTTAGGGCATACATGTTAATGTTTACCATCTTTTTTCTGCGATAATGAGGGCTTTAAGAAGCATGATAATTAAATATTCTTGCATACTCTCGATGTCAGCAGTTAAAGCTTTAGGGAAAAACACCAAATACAACAGAATTCTGGGTAGAATTGCATGAAGCAGCAGAATTGCAGCTTTATTCTGCTCTCAGGGAGTCTGCAGTCTTCTGCCATAATGGCACATGGCCGTTCTCTTCCTCTGTGCATTGAGCATTAGTGCTGGGCAGGGTAAGGAAGAAAAAGATAAGGTGAACATCTGACGCAAGGTAAGTAATATTGAGGAACTTCTTGATCGATTCCTAGTACGGAAGATAGTCTGTGAGACCCTTTGGTATAAGTGCCCAGCATATCCAGGTTTGTGTGTGGTGGGTTTTTTTAAGGAGAGGGTAATGGATTTCTGTGGTTTTGCCATTAAATTTCTTCAGCAACTTTGCAAAGGTAATTTCAGTGTGTAGGACTTCTTCATCTTTTTCTTTCTAATACTTTTTCCTAGGTACGGGGACATGAGGAAAGAAATTGGCTTCAAAATAAGGGATATGTGGTATAACCTGGGTGAGTTCCAGCCAAAGAATTATCTTTATGCAAGCTCTCAAGCTGGGTTTCAAACCCTTTATTTCTTTCTAAAAGCTGCTCATGTTTAATGTGGGGAAATACACTTAAGGTTCAGCTGTTTCAGAGCACAGAATCTCTTTTCCCTTTTCTGTGAATAGCTCGCAAAAGCTGATCTCACGTCAGCTGCTGAAATAATTTCTCAGATTCTTTACAAAGGATGTGTTACCATATGAAGGACAAGAGTAGAATTTTTCAGAGAGCCTTTGTGATTTGCAACATTGCATGCAATTCAGTTCAATTTTCTTGGACTATTCCTGAATTTTGGGGCTGTAACATGGTAATTCTACTTTAAGTAGCCATTTTCCGTGTAAAGTGTGCGTTCTAAGCAGAATGTCTGTGTTTTATGGTCTGTATTTTATATGAATAATGTGCTTAAACATTTGGATATCCAAATCCTGCCATTAGGATGTATCTGACTTTGACTTTCTTGCAGGTCCCCACAAAATAAAATTCATTCCCGCAATGGTAGGCCCAATTCTGGAGGTAACGCTGGTCCCAGAGCCTGAGCTGCGGAAAGCTACCATTCCCATCTTCTTTGATATGATGCAGTGCGAGTTTAACTTCAGTGGGAACAGAAACTTCCATATGGTAAGGGAGCGTGGTATCTTCAGTACAGATGTTCCACAGTATACATTGGGCAAGAAGGAGAAGAGAGCATCTAAACAAAAACAAAACAAACAAAAAAACCCCCACACAAAACAAGCATTTTGCCAAACACTTTGAGAAGTTATTGTTAAGTGGTTTGTAGGAGTCAGGACTCTTCAGTTCTGTCCCTGACTGTACGTTTGCATGACTTTGATAATTAATGAATTCTTCTGTTTTCATACCTTTCTGCATTTGCAGATGTGTGAATACCCACATCTAAATTGTGAAGCAATTCAAAGACCCAAAGAGAGTACTCTAAAAAGTCATGTCTATGTACATTTATAATAACAATATAAATTCCACCAAGACAGATCTATGGCTGTAAATGTAAGTTACTATAAAGAAAATTGCTGGACAATCAAGTGTTGGGAGTATGCGGTTGCTTACATACTGACTAAATCCCTCATCAACTTCAAATTTGGCAACACATTTGTGAATACTGATGCCACCATTATGGAAAGGAGAACAGTGATACAAAGGACAGGCAGGATTTGCTTGAGGCTACACAAGTAAAAGGACAGAGCAGGGAACAGGACCCAGATCCCTGAGTTCCAACCCTGTGCTAATTTCTCCAGAAGTTGCCTTTCATTGCTACCGAGAAAGCACCAGAAAGTAAGGAAGGAAAAAAAAAAGGATCTTTGCTTTTGCCCTGAGGTTAAGTTTTCACTGCAGTTTCTAAGGACTTATTCTTCCAGCTTTCCTCTGGGGATATCAGACGTTAACATCTCAACTGGCAGGCCAGGGACACTGTAGTTATGCTGTAGACAGTCTTCTCCCTGGAGATAGGTAGGAGCCATCTGTCCAAAAGGCAGCCACCTTGGCATTTCAGACTGTTGTCAAATGTGACGTGCATCTCCCTAAGCACCATGCTCACACCAGCTTAGACCCCAGCTTCAGTGCGCACATGGGATCTTTCTTCCCTTGGGGTCATCAGTCTTTGGTGTGGTTGGCTCCAGGATCTCAGGGGTTTTTGGAATTGGTAGAAGGAAACAGGATGTGTGTGGCATGGATTTTCCATTCCAGTGGTATTTATATGGTAGCCACGGTTATAACTGAGACTATGTAGTTGACCTGCTTGCACATAAAAGGGCATATCTTCATGGCTAGATAATCACACAGGACTTGGTTCTTGCACCATGAGAAGATGCTTTAATTAGTGGTCACAAATATTTATGATGCCCAGAAAGTTGTGATTTTCCCTTAACTGATGGTAGTAGTTCAGTTTCTTCAGGGTGAGTGAATGACCATTATCATCTGTAAATTGGCTGCTAAGATGCTTCTCCATCGTAGCAAAATTGAGGTGCTAATGGATGGAGGAGAAGAGGAAGCATTACCCCAGAGCATGACTTTCCAATGACTGTAGGGTGAGAGAGGGAGGACTTCTATTTCCTTGCTCCAATCTTGTCATCTTGGCTTCTTAACATTTTTATTCTGCTCCAACGATGAAAGCGTACTCTAGCTGTGCGTGTAAAACCAGTGTCTGATGGCGGGGAAGTTCAGAAATGCCAGCCACAAGCATTACTGATGTTCAGACCACGCTCTTGAGAGTTGCTGTCTATTTGATTTTGGTTTTTTGCCTTTTCAGTTCGAAAATGAGTTGATAACCAGACTGGACCAGGAAGTGGAGGGTGGCCGAGGGGATGAACAGTACAAGATTTTGCTGGAGAAACTGTAAGTTTTATGAAGGACATAGAGGCTCTTTTTTACAGCTTAGTTGGCTATTTTTCTAATGCAAAGAAACCCTAATTCATTGCTCCAGTGAATAGGGAGACAGTGTAGTTGACAGCAATCTTAATGCTTTATGGGTATTCTGAGACTGATTGCCTTAAAATGATGCTTTTATTCTGGAGCAGCAACTTGCACAACTACCCTGAAGTTGGAGATGAAAGCCTAGAGGCAGGTGCCAAACTGGCAAGGGGGTTGTAAATGGAAAAGCTTGAGAACAGCAGGTTCAGAGTTAAAGCAAAATCAGAGCCTTCATTTAGCACCAAGAGTAGAATCCAGGTTTTTGATTAAGGCAGGCTTTGACCTGCCTGACATGGGCATCTCAAGTCGGTGGATGCGGTGTGCTGTTCTGCGCTGTGAGTCTCTGTTCAGGAAACATATTTGACTCTGTTTGCTGAGTGGCTGTTTGGGTAATTTACGCTGAAATTCTACTTAACACCACTGAGAACTGTAACTGAGTATTCCCTTCTGTCTCTCTGGGTGTATCTGCAGCCTCCTGGAGCACTGTCGGAAGCATAAATATCTATCTACTTCTGGAGAAGTGTTTGCTTTGCTGGTCAGCAGCCTGCTAGAGAACCTGCTGGACTACAGGACAATCATGCATGATGAAAGCAAGGAGAACCGCATGAGCTGCACTGTCAATGTGCTGGTATGGGGAAGGCTGGATTTGGATACGGGTGCTTCTTTACTGACCTGGCTTTTGTGGATTCTGAAGGGGGTTTTTTTTTGTAGGATTTTAAGTAATGCTTTATGCCATTTCTGGTTAATGATGGGCCTAAATCAGGCTATCAGCCATTGACAGCTATAAAGCATAGAAAGCTGTACAGTCCAAAATCAAGTCACATGGCTGGTCCTTGTCTACATGGTAATCTGAAGCCCTGAAATACAGGCAGGAAAGATGGGTAGCTGATAGTTTGGGACATGTGGGCTTAAGTCCCTGTTCCACTGCAGAGAGCCTGTATAACTTCAGACAAGCCGCTTTCTTTGCCTTACCCCTTCTCTAGAGGTGACAGTAGCTCCACCTTATGTTAAAGGGATGGTTGTAGGGATGTATGCACCTAAGCAGACAAGGTGACAGCGAAGATCTTTGAAATATCTAAAACTGATGCTTAAGTTACTTGTCTAGAGATGATTATGCAAATCCATGGCACTTTACATTGTGAAAGTTTGACTTCTTTTCCTATTCTTGGCAGAATTTTTATAAGGAGAAGAAACGAGAGGACATTTATATCAGGTAGTCTGTTTCGCTCCATAAACCTGTATAGAAGCCTTTATTTCTCTTGATGTTCTGCACACTGATACAGGAGTCCTTCACATCAAGTAAGAATTGCTTTTCATTTGTTTAGGTATCTATATAAACTCCGGGACCTGCACACAGACTGTGAGAACTTCACAGAGGCAGCATACACTCTTCTTCTCCATGCAGAGCTGCTCCAGGTATTACATTAAAGCCAATTTTAGTTTGCACTGTCAGGATATGGGTTTTAAATGAAGTGCAAACAGCTCAGAATAAACAATTCACTTTGGGGTTTTTTTGTTTGTTTGTTTGTTTGTTTTTAATGTGGCTTTGCATTACCCGGGTTCTAGTGGTCGTTAAGGAGCTTCACAATTTTGCAGATTGCACATCAGCTAAATGGATGAAAGCAAAAATGTTATTAGCATCGATTTGTTACATACCCTTGGTGAAACAGAGTGCTATAGTGAGCTGGGAGAAAACACTGTTTTAGGGGTCGTAATACAGTGTTTTCCCACTTCTGTGTGGACAGTGTAAAATGCATTAGCCTAAGCCATCTTAATTTGGATTTAAGTCAACCTTTTCATTTCTTCCACAGATCAATAAAGCATACACATTCGCTTAGTGTCTCAGTGTAAGACCTTAAGCCAAAAATCATGCCAGTTTTGCAGATATAATTAAACTTCTATTAACATTTTAGAGTGATTTTTAAATATGACTAAAATAATTTTACAAGTTCAGACGAATTCTTAAACTGATTTGACATGAACTTTTAATGTAGAAAAATATTAGCTTTCTGGCTGCTTAGATGTGCAGTGAGAGAGCATATTCAGATGTTTTTCTGAGCAGCTGGCTGGAGTGGTTTAAGAAGTTACTGCGTACTAGCTACTTGTTATTCTAACCATGCTGCTGAGATGCAGTGTTTGTGTGTGCATTCCTAGTTTACGTTAGTCAGCCAGCTCAGCTTATATCATTCTCCCTTTGCATTGATGATGGATTTGTCTTGAATGCATCCCTGCAGAAGGTGAGTCTATCCACTGTAAGGACTTGTTAATCTAACAGTGTTCCAGTTCTTTCAACTTTACCTGTTTTCCCTCTGTACTAGTGGTCCGAGAAGCCATGTGTCCCTCATCTCCTGCAGAGGGACAGCTACTATGTCTACTCACAACAGGAACTCAAGGAAAAACTCTACCAAGAAATTATCTCCTTCTTTGACAGGGGCAAAGTGAGTATCTCTGTAGTGTTCCTACAGTTCACTGGTAGATACTTGGCTTGGTGAATGTAGCTGGCAGAAGCTGTTAAAACAACTTCTGTTAAAAGCAGACATGATTCCATAACGGGCTTTTGATGCTTTTTAATAAAGACCACAGTACTGGCATATGAGCAGGGTATCTATTTGTCCTGGTGATCTTTGAATCCTTCTATTTTCCTTGTTAGCCAAAGAGCATATGAAAAACTAACCCTGTTCAAGACACTGGGTAGATGAGAAAACTATAGGTGTTTTCCTTTCTTTTTCTGGGTAATGGCTTCTGTCGGGTTTTTGCATTGCAGTGAGTATGGCTTGTCTGGCTGATGCTGAACTTGTGTTAGTTGCGCTTTGAATAGATGGTTCTACCAGAGCTACATGAGACAAACCCAAGGAAGCCTGATGCAGGGGATGAAGTATTAGTGGAGGACACCACCTGGGCTTCTCTCACTTGCTGTTTGGACATGTCCTTCTACCTCTTTGTGCCTCAGTTTTCCCTATCAGGAGTAACAATGGAAACCTTGGCTTTGTAAACCACTTTCAGATCTACAAATCAAAAGAGCTGTGTGACTATAATAATTACTGCAAAAAAATGTACAGCATGGAGTCTAAGGGAAAGTTGGCAGTGCATTAAAGTACTGCCTGAATTAAAATCAGCTGAATTTTTTGTTTACCTATCTGTGGTAATGAATGCTTTTAACTGAGTCTTTTATTTTGTTTGTGCTCTTCTTCCCCCACCTGCCTCCCTTCACCCTCCATGGAGATGTGGGAAAAAGCCATTCAGCTAAGCAAAGAGTTGGCTGACATGTATGAAAACAAGGTCTTTGATTATGAGGGCCTTGGTAATCTCCTGGTAAGATTTTTTTTTTTTTTTTCTCCATTTTCAGCAGGCTGCTGAATGCTTAAATTAATACTGTTGAGCAGGATAAATCCAAAATACATTTATGTTAAAGACAAACCAGCATAACCCCCATGGTTTTGTAAAGCTTAATATTAGAAGAATGTTTTCATAATTTTTTTTACAGGGTGTGGTTTTGACCTTGTAATTAGCATGACAATATCATGTACAGATGTTTAACATTCTTACTGTTAATCAAATACGGTAACATTTGCATGGTGCATTTTCAGGCTCCATAAATCTCATCACCTTGTTATTTGTGTGATAAAACTACTGTGTATCAACACAGAACTATAGAATCATCTTGGTTCTGAATTATGTTTTGTAGTGGTTAAAGATGTAACCAGATGGTCTTTATGTTCTTTCATATGAGAATCATCTGCCCAGTTTTATTTCTGCCAGTTCTCTGACATTTGTCACCATTTGTGTCTGCTCAGTTTCAGAACATTATTTTTAATTTGTGGTGCAATAGTTAAGGATTTCGGGTATCCTCTTGGAATCCTAAAAAACATGGCATTGCTGTCATGTCTGCAAACCAGGAAATGAAGTTGATTCTGGCCCAGACAAACCAAGTATTTAACCAAGTAAATGGATAAGTATGAGATACTGTATCAAAAAAAAACAATTGTAAAAAGTATTCTGTAGGGGAGAATATTAGATGAGGAATTGTCACTGGGAATGTGAGCTGACAGACACTGTCTGGCAGTGTCCTTGAATACTCCAAAGTGAAAATGCTGGTGACTTTTTTTTTTTCTTCCAGAAAAAACGAGCTACTTTTTATGAGAATATTATGAAGGCAATGAGACCTCAACCAGAGTACTTTGCTGTTGGATACTATGGTCAGGGTTTCCCCTCTTTCCTCCGGGTAAGAATTCTTCAGCACTCAAGTTCTGGAGTGGTGGGTACCCTAAAAGTCACAACTTTCACAGAGCTTCTGAGAAAATTCAGGTGCCAAACTCCTTTTCCTTTGAATGATACTGAGAGATCTAAATCCCTGAAGTATTTCAAAACACTTCGCCATATAAAAAGAGACAAGTAAGAGACTGGATTTTTTTGTGTTAACAGCTTTAATAAAGTCAGAGTGTTTTAACAGGGTTTGTTAGATGATTGGTATGTTCTTATACGGACTTAAACAGAATCTACCTTTTGTATTTGTGTCCTATACACTTCCTCCAAAATATGATTGTTGCCGTTAGAAAATGTTTAGCTTGTAAAGAATTTATCCCATTGCTTTTCAGCCTGAATCAGCCTAATTTTCAGGACATGGATCATTTCAATGCTCAAGCACATTAGTAAGAGTCTGTCCCACGCAGAAGAATTAAAATGCAAAGATGCTTCCTGTTTGAGATTGCTGCTAAGCATTTCTGGATCTATGCTAGCTGTAATACAAGAATCTAGCCAAAGTGAGTCAGATGGGCAGGGTGCAGCATACTAGCAAATATTCCCAACTATTATTTAAAATTGAGAAACATTTACATTTTCAGACTGGAGTTGTTTGAAGTTACTGGCCTTAAATGGAGGCCAAGCTCATTAAAAAAGAAAAATGTTAACTTAGGACTGTGGAACTGGATGGCATAGAAGGCTTTCACCTCCAGGTCATGTTTTGAAATCCATCGCTTCCAGAAACCTCCACTGCTTGGTGGCCAGTTTGGAAAAGTAATTGGCCATGGTCTAACTGTTAAGCCTGTAGCGCGAAGCTGCCATAGCTGACCGTTTTGTTAATGGTAGCTGAAGAGATTCAGCAAGGGAACAGAGGTAAAACTCATGTCTTTGTGCATAGAGAGGTCCCTCAGTTAACTCGTATCATAAGTGGTCTGGCAAGGAGCATGCAGTTCCCTGCATTAAAGAACTTTTTGGGACACATGTTCTCTTACTTAAAACCAGTCCCCTGACTGAGATTTCATGTGTTGAATGTGTGAGTTCTTAGAGTGCTAGAAAGCATGAACATGTTCAATAACACTTGTGTGTGGAACAATGAATTTTCTACACAAATGAGGATGCCGTTGCGGGGCCTTGCTCCTGAGAGTTGCTGTGTTGTCACTTTAGCCTGTGTTTCTTCTTTCATGTCTTCTGACTGTCTGTTAAGCTAGGAGACAGCCCTTCATATAAATTAGATCTCTGAGACTACTCTATGTATGTTCAGAAAGCTCTTTCTCATCGCTTTGTTTAGCATTAATTCTCTTTCTTCTGCTACCCACAGAATAAAATTTTTATCTACCGTGGCAAAGAGTATGAACGAAGGGAAGACTTCAACCTGAAGCTGTTGACCCAGTTTCCTAGTGCTGAGAAGATGACCAGCACTGCCCCTCCAGGAGAAGAGATCAAGTCTTCTCCTAAACAGTGTATCTTTTGGTTCTAATATGTTTTGGCACATTCAAGGTCTGCCTCTTTCCTAGAATAAGAGAATTTGTAAAAAACAGTAATGAGCAAGGACCTTACTGCTCCAGGGGGACTTTGAAGGCAGGCAGTGGGCATGAAAATAAGACTATCCAGAACTGCAATAGTGAACTTAAACATATTGAAAAAGAGAGACAGCTTGATATTGTCAGAGTTAAACGAGGTGCTGTTAGGATGAAACCTTAACAGATGGCAGGTCAGGATTTCTTGTGCTGCCTTCTCAAGCAGGTGGTGCTGACTGCTGTAGTATATATGTGATCCAGTTGGGTATTTCTAGGTGAAAGCAGTAAAAGACAGGCAGTGAAAGTGGGATATAAAGAAAATGGAAATATGCTCTCTTCTTGCTTGTGATGAACTAGCATTTATGAAATGGCTCGGTTTTGGGTTTTTTTCCCTAGAAGTCACTTTGTGAGAAGTGATTATTTATGTTGATGAAAGTTGTTGGGTGAACAACCCTTTTTTTTTTTTTTTTTAAATTTTTTTCTTTCTGCTGGTGAAACTCCAAAGTGTGTGACACAGCACACCACTAGGCTTAAGATCCTCTTTCTCTTAATTGTGAGCATCACCAAGTGCAACCTAATGAAGATGCTTCAGATTCTTGTTTGTGACTTCCAGTCAATAGCAGATGTGCTCCTGGAAGATGTACCTCAGTAAAAACCAAGTTACTGGGCTTCTGGCCTGTGTTATACAGGCCAGATTAGAGAATCTGATGGTCCAGTTTGGCCTTAAAAGTCTGTGTACAAAGGCACAACTCAAGCAGTGATACCAGATGCTTCCCTTGCAATAAGCCTGCCAAGCACTAAATCCACATAGGAAATTAAAATTCATTCAAGACCAAACTTGGTATCAAAAAATGCCTCCTCTGTTGCTGCTTTGTTTCAGCTACTTCCTTTGCATCTGTTTGTGTTTGTTCTAATGTTTTTGGCTCAAGATGAGCCTGAACCGCAAAATTTGGATCCAGATCTGAACTCTTCTAAAAGTTTGGGGGTGTTTGGTTCCGGGTCTTTGGCATAGCCCCATTGTAAAGGGGAGCAGCTGCATAGCTTGGATTTGGTACAGGTTCTTCTCGGACTCTTACAAACACCTTCGGAAAAGATGAGGAGTTTGAGTGTCCAAATCACTGTTGTGTTAGGCAGGGGTTGCTAGTTCTGGAGTTAGTTTTAATTTCATGCTTTTTTAACCTCCGTTGTCTTAGGCTCTTTTTTACTTTTGCTTAGAATACGCTTCCTTGCTCTTTTATGACAAAATGCCTTGTTCTTCCCTTGGTTATTTCATAATAGTGGACTGGTGAAATTGAGTGAGCTGTACGCAGTCTCAGGGAATGCCCGCACAGTTAAACAGGCTAGTCTTCCACCAGCTCTGAACTAGAAGCTGTATAGCAAGCTTAGCATGGCATGAAGCCCAACCTAATAAGCTCTCCTGAGAGAAGGAATATATTAGCTTGGGCTCAGTGCTTGATCTAATGTGGCTGTGTGGTTTTGGGTTCAGGTTTGGCTAGCATCCATCTGGCTCTTCAGTGCGGGCAGAATGACCTTGCCTTTGCTTTCAAAATACTGTTTAGAACTACGCTCAGTGAAATAAAGGATGTATGGGGCTACCCTACCTGCCAGTAAAACATTGCCACTTCAGAGTGCAACTGGCAGGTGATTCACAGAAATAATCTATTAATGTGGGTCATATTGTTTATGCTTTCCTTTTCCACGCAGGTTTTTACTTCTGTAAAGCCTTCAGTACAGTCCTTAGAACTCTGGAGGAACAACACTGTAAGCTGTTGTGCTTGGGAATACTGTTACTAACTTTGTTTTTTAATTTCTGTCATGGTTCACAGTTGCAAAAGCTGAAGATGAAGTAGATATTCACTGGTTAAAAACAGCCTACTTTCTTCAGTTAGCTTTATTGCCCTAAAAATGGGGAGGGAGGGGCAGCTTCACCGTGCTGGAAGAATCTGACAAATAACCATGGGGCGGTGAGGGAGAGAGAAGAAACAGATGCATCTGTTACAGAACCTAGCGCAGAATCTTGTTTTCCTGTCCCCAGAGTAGAAATGGGTAGCACCCAGGCTTCCCAGGCCTTTCACCAGGGTATTTCAATAGCTGGAAATATTCGTATAGCCCTTTATCTTTTGGGGCTTTTAGTTCATGAGTAGCATACAAACTACAAGAAGCAATATAATGCCTGTGATTGTTGATGAACTACTAGGTATTTTTCTTCAAACATGACAAGAGCACAGGGAATTGTTGAGAAGTCTGGTGTTTGAAAACAGGAAGGGTATTCCTCTCCCTCTCCTGTTTTCCTAAAAGGATTCATAGTTTTTCATCCTTAACTATAGCTGCTCAGATGTGCAGTGCTTTATTGTGAAGCCTGTGATGAACCTGCCACCTAATTATAAAGACAAACCTGTTCCTGAACAGATCTTAAAGTAATTTCTTTTCCTTTTCCCTCAACATGTCCTCTGTATTTTTCTCAACTAGCCTAGGCACAAGGTGCAGTGCCTTTGTGTCTTGTGTAAATCTGTTTCATAGTCCAGCTTACGCGTGGTTGGTTTTCAGAGGAAACAGAAGAACCTTTCTGTAAGGAGGACGGGAGGTGAGAAAACTCACCATTTACTCTGCTTCTTTCTAGCTACTACAGAGCAAACGAGGTACAGCAGTTCACACACTCCCGACCAGTCAGGAAAGGAGAAAAAGATCCAGACAACGAGTTTGCTGTGAGTCCTTTGCTTTTGATGCTAGCTGGTTTGGGTTTCTGTACTATGAGAAAATGGTTCTGTGCATTTATTTATTTTGTTGGTGGCATTTTGAACAGCACTGTCAGAATTGTTTTTCCTCCACCTGTGGCAATGGAATTTTGCTATTCAAATGTAGGAGAAAAATTGCACTTTGCGTTGCAATTTTTACATAAAGCCAGTGTGATAATGTCAAGGGGCTCTGTAGCTGAAGTTGTAATGCTCAAAATCCTTGATCTAGAATCCATAAGTATTGTGCTGTCTAACCCCAGCTTCCTACAGAGTGCACCTGTGTGTCTGGTAGATTGTGGATGATGTAGCTGTCCTTAAGGAGGCCAGCCTCTAACCATGAAGGATCAGTTCAACTTCAGACCAACTTCGAAGATTTTCAGTGGAGAGGGAGCCTTGGGTGTAGTGTAACAGCACGTTTCCTTGCTGCCTATGAGGCATACTGTTGCTCATGTAGTGGTTGAGCATGTTGCATGTAACTCTGGCTAAATATGCCATGAACACAGTCCTCCTAATAGTGGTCCACATGGAGGGTAACAGCCTACTGCTGCTAATGTTGATACCATTTAAATAGTAGAGGTGGTATTTGTTGCCAAAAACACTGGGTTCCATCCCAGTTAGTGAAGGTGAAAGTCACTGTGTAAGTCCTGCCAGCTAGTGCTGAAAGCCTGGTTCCACGCTCTACCACAGAAGGGAATTGAATTGCAAGGCCAATATTTTCCTTACATCTTGGAATTTTTTCCTTCTCTAACTAGAATATGTGGATAGAAAGGACAACCTACAC